TTCTCTATGGTGGGAAAAAAAGTATTTTTTTTCCCACCATAGAGAACAATGGGATGGGGGCAACCTGTTTGGGGGCCCATAGAATTGGACCCCCTGGTCCAATCTTCATGAAACTTGGTGGGTATGTAGGGGAGAGGTTCTAGTAACCACCCTCCAAGTTTGGAGCTTACCCACTCCAAGGTCCATAGGATACAATGTTGCCGAATTGCCGCCGAATTTCGGTATGTTGGGGAGAGGTGCCAGTAAGCACGCTCCAAGTTTGGAGCCTCTACCCCAAACCCCCTCCCCCCCAGCCCCCCGCAAAGTTCCAAGAGGATTTTTGCCATTGACTTCAATGGCCCCATTGGTTATAATGGACCCGAATTTTTCGGGAATTTTTTCGGGATTCGGACAAGCTCATAAATTGCTAATTCGGGATCCCAAAAGCCGAAAAAAGCCGAAAATCGTTATTTTCGGCTTTTTTTTCGGTTCGGGATCCCGAAATGCACATCCCTAGCTTCCGCGATCTGACAAGATGGGGCTAGCCGGAGCCATCCATGTCAGGGCAACCAAGCTTTCTTGGTTCGTATTATAACGGAATGTAAGTGTTTTAAAGAAAAAGTATAATTCCCACAAATCTTTAACAGAGGAAACTGACGATCCTTCTCTTTTTCTTTTGAATTGCTAGCCCTTGCCAAGAAGGCATCTTTAAGAAGGCTTGCTGCTAGCGAGCATTCTGTTCCTGGCTCGTCAGTTTCGGTTGTCCTACAAGGCTGATGAAGCCTAAAATGCATTTTGTCAGCAGCTACTAAAGCTGCCCTTGCTTCAGATCCTTTGCGTACCTCTAGGCGAGCAAGGCCAGTCAGGAAGGGATCAATACAACGCTGATGAAATGTTTTTCTAGCACTGGCAGCATCACTTCCCTACTCTTCAGTGCTTTAAAAATACAATTCAAACACCAAAGGAAGTGTTTACCATGAGGTGAGAGCTGGAGAGACAGATGGGCAAAGATGACACAAGGGGAAGGAGGGGGACGAGCGCTTCATTCCTGCGTGGGAGGGATGCCGGAGAAGAGCCAAGGGGGAGGGGGAGCAGGACTCTGTGGAGTCCCTGTTAAATTACAAGGATTTCTGGAAATTTGGAAGCCCTCGTGTGTGTGTGTGGGGAGGGGATTGGGGTGCATTCTTTCCTTTCTGGCAAGAATTGGAAATGTTGCTATTGACATATATTATCTTGCCTGAACTCACTTTACTATAAGGGGATCAAATGCGTTTTGGTATCACAGTGCAATCCTAAACAGAGTTACACCTTCTAAGATCATTCAGTGGACTTAGGGGTGTGACTCTGTTTAGGATGGCAGTTTTAGCTCCCACATAAATCTGTAGTGATTGATTTTATTCAGTCAATAAGTAAACAGTGGGGTGGCAAGAGTCTTTATACCTGTTTACCAGAGGAGATAGTGGTGGGACATGCCACAGCTCTCTGAAAAGAACAAAAACATACTATGCTTCCAGCCTATGAGATCAAAATATTAAAGGCTATCAGAAAATCTGAATGTTGGGTTAATGGTGATATCAGTCACTTCAGTAATGTGTACTCATCACACAGTAAATGTCATAGTAATCAAGGACAAAATTAACCACTTGGAAACCCATACCATGTGATTTATAAATAATATTATTGAAAACTAGGAATAAGGCCCGTTGTGGAAATAAATACAAGCTCTAGAAAGAGGCTGTGGACGAGTACCCAGGCCTTGTGCACTCAGTGTACATTTGCTGTGGTGTAATGACACAGAGCTTACCGTTTTCTCCAGGGGAACTGATCTCTGCCATCTGAAGAGCAGTTGTAATTCTGAGTGATCTCTTGCCCTCCCCTGGAGATCGGCAACAATGGTTCCCCAGGAGGAAATGGCTGGTTTGGAGGGTGGAGTCAATGGCATTGTATCTATTTGAGGTCCCACCCTGCCTCAAACCCCACCCTCTCCAGGCTCCACCCCTCAGATCTCCAGGAATTTTCCAACCTGGAGGTGGCAACCCTATTTCCTTCCCAGCCAACCAACAATGTACGTTATCTGCCCCTCTGACTTCAAGTTTCCATCTCTTTTTTGTGGTGTATATCTCCTCTCCCCCTTTTGATTTGCGCAACAACTCAGTGAGGTAGGTTAGGCTGAAAGTCTGTGAGTGGTCTGAAATCACCCAAGCAGCTTCCACAGGAAGAACCTGGGTCTGGCAGACCCTGCTCTGAAGCGCTAACTGCTACGTCACACTGGCTGTCATAGGCTGTCATAGGGGGGCCACTTCAACAGTGTATAATGACACAGAGCCCACCATTTTCTCCAGGGGAACTGATCTCTGCCATCTGGAGAGCAGTTGTAATTCTGAATCATTTCCAGCCCTTACCTGGAGATGGGCAACAATGGTTTTCCAGGAGGAAACAGCTGGTTTGGAGGGTGAAGACTATGGACTTGTACCTGTCTGAGGTCTCACCCCTCCACAGACCCCACCCTCTTCGGACTCCACCCATCAAATCTGGACTGACCCCAATGAGTTCCCCACAAAGGCCTGGAAAGGGCCTCCTGTCTCTGCCTTTTTACTGACAGAACTAAGGTTGGTTGCCTAGCAACAGCCACTGAGGGAAAAGTTAGTCCCACAGGTGCCAAGCAGGAGAAGTGTCTTTGTCAGGAGAGAGCCATTTTGACAGTTTATTCTGTGAGGGAAGAGTGTCCAGGCTGGCAGTGGGCGGGGGAGAGGAGTGGACCCAGCCCCCAGCCAAAGGCACACAAGTACTCTTGAGTGGTGGTTGATGGGCCAATGGCTGATGGAGTACACAGCACAGCCAGTGGGAGAGCTGGAAATTGCCAACGTGTTAGGGCAATTATATATATCAGATAGTGTTGTCTAAAGTTTTTTTCCATTAGAATCCCAGAGGTCAGTAAGTTTTCTGAACTTTCATTTCTCTTTCCATTGATTCCTGAGAAGTGAAGGTTTGCATGGAGTCAAACCAGCTTCTCCACTCTTTCACTGACTCGCTTGTCTCTTGATGTTACGGCATAGACATTCCCAAACTTAGAAGATCCTTTTTTCGGAGGGTGGAAGATCCCGAAGTATGTGAGAAGGTTTGAGAGTTGTATTGCCTCATATTGTATGATTGTTGAATGCAGTACATGAAAACTTTGCTTCAAAAGGTATTTCAGTGTTCTAAAAGGGGAAATGTTTTGTATGTGTTTTAGTCCCACCCCCTTTCAGTTTTTCAGTTAGAAAAGTTGGAGAGGGCAGGCAGCAAGTAGTATTTCCAGACCCCACCCCACCCCGTTCTTAATATTTTTCTTCTTCTCTGCCTGTGATGCTCAAGCAGGGCATGCTTGCTTCTTGTATAAGCTCACTGTATTCTCCTGCTCCCCCTCCCAACTGAGTGGTGGTGTGCATTTCTTCCTCAATCATGATCGGGCCTTGGTAGTGGGATTTTTATGCTCTCAGAACTGTGTGCCGTTTTGCTAGTCTGTGTATTTGCTGCTGTTCCTGAGCGGGAATAATTTGGACAATTTTATTTTCTAGTGAAAATACACTTTTTGGAATGGGGAATCCTCTCCTTGACATCTGTGCAGTAGTGGACAAGGACTTCCTTGACAAGTAAGTGTTTTTTCTCTCTCTCGAGTTAAATTTATTTGCAAAGTCTCACACTGGAGTATCTGAAGGACCACCCGCTCTCCTATGAAATTGCCCGCTTGTTAAGATATTCTGTATCGATCCTACCGTGAATAACACCATTTCCAGAGGGGGAATTGAATTCCTGTAAGAGAGAGGCTCCAAACTAAATGGCCTTCAGGCAAAAATCATTTTTATTTTCCTAGTCTCCCCCCCCCCTTTTGTGCTCTTCCTCTGTGTTGGTTCCATCATTGTTACATTGCTTTGGGTTGTTACAAACTATGATTTGTGCTGCAGTGTTAATGGCAGTATTTTGACTCTGTTATACTGATGGCCCATTTGTTTTTATTAAAACACTGTGGGGAAGTATCCTGAAATCTCTTCGCAGGGCACAAAGATTTCCCATCTTTTCTCAAATTGAATCTGCACGGCTGTTTGATATCTATTTCATGCAGTATTCAGGGGAATGTGTTTGTGTGAGAATCTTATACGAGAACTCTTAAATAGTTTAGTAGCCTGCTAATATAACCTAATGAGCTATCCTGGTGAAGGGTTGCGGCAGTGGTCCAAATTTGCACACACGCACCATAATCGTGAGTTTGCAGCACTTCATCCTGGGAGGGGGGCTCCTGTGATGAAGTACAGGTGGGACAGTGGCCAGGAAAAGGGCAGCCACAGGAGGCTTCTCTAGACGGGAGGTCCCCAGCCTTCTTTGACCTGCAAGCAAGGGCCTGTAAGACGGAGCTCTTCCGCCAGGCTTTCACATAGGGGCCGCCGCTGCCACCACCACCACTGGTGGCAGTACCAGCAGGATCCGGGATCGCCCTGGGAAGCTCAGCCATATATATGTGCGGCATTAACAACGTGTGGCTGGCATGAACGATCCACTGGACAGCAGTACCCCAGTGGGGCTGATTTGAAGATACCATCACTACCATCACAACCACTCATGACCATCTTGTTGTCTGAAAGCACTTTATTACTGTTCTTATTGTTCTTATTGTATTCTTAAGATTTTACTGTTTTACTGGATTTTAAGTGTGGGCTTTTGCCCCTGTAAGCCGCCCTGAGCCCGCTTGCAGGGAGGGTGGGGTAAAAATGCCTAAATAAATAAATAAAAAAATAAAAAAGCAGCTTTCGACCTGACTAAGGGCAGAGGGCACAACCACAAAATGGCTGCCTCGGGAGGTGGAGCCAAGCACAGAATGTCAGGTAAGGAGGTTATGCATGACTCTTAACCGTCACTCTTCAGCATTTCAGGCAGAAGCTCTGCTTGACAAGGTGCCTTTTAAAATGAACCTACTTTTAAAAATATGATCTTGCTTATACACAGCTTCCTTTCAGTCGTGCAATGCTGTGGTGGCAGCTGTTGCCAAAGTAGTGTTTTTGGGGGGCAGCTGTTGCCAAAGCAGTGTTGTTAAAAACAGTCTGCAAAAGCAGTCAGTTCTGCAGGGGCCAGTCAGAAGCCCTGCTGGGCAAAATCACCACCCGCTTTCTAAAAACACTTAGTGGGCGTTAGGAAAGGTGGCGGCTACCAACGCTCCCTCTAAGCTGTGGGGTTGTGTGAGCAAGAATTCTACCTTGTGAGCTACTGGCATTAAAGTTGTGAGCAGGTGATTTGGCTGCTGCATAAATTAGTTTGGTCTGGAGCAGTGTTCCCTCTAAGCTGAGTTGGCGTGAGGCAGCTCACAGTTTTTTAGCCTGCGGCTCACTCAGTTTTTGTCTTAGCTCAGGAAGGAAGGCTCCAGAGCAAACGAATTGATGCAGTAGCCAAATCGCTGGCTCACCACTTTCATGCCAGTAGCTCACAAAGGAGAATTTTTGCTCACAAGACTCCACAGCTTAGAGGGAACATTGGTCTGGAGCCATCCTTCCTGAGCTCAGACAAAAATGTGTGAGCTGGAGGCTAAAAAGCTGTGAGCTAGCTCACACTAACTCAGCTTAGGGGGAACACTGGTGTGGGTTCACCCATCGACACTATGTTGCAGACCCCTGACCTAGACCAATTAAGAAAAGATATAAGATTCAGAGTTTCACATCCATCTCCTTGGAAGTGTAACACTGAATAAGAACAGTAGGTAATGGATAATTAGATACATTGACATAGGAAACCACATGTCTGAATGCATCTTTAAGACATTTAACGGTGGAGCACATAAATTCCTGTTACAGGGTCCACTTTAGCTTGTGGCTATGGGGAAAGTTGCAAGTAGAAACCAAAAAGTCGGTTAAAAATAAAATCAGGGAATGCTTCAGCAAATGGTTTTGGCCCAGGGCTGTGATGGAAATAAACCTGCCCGCTGCCTGCAGTCTCCCCCATCAGTTCTGTGTGTGCGTGTGTGTGTGTCCATGTGCCACCCCTTGTGCCCGTGTGAGGAGCACTGCCAGGCCTCTTGCCCCATCTCTCGTGAGACGTGCTCCTGCAGGTGGCAGAGTGCCTGCCTTGATGCGCAAATGTTTGTGCAGCAGAAAAACCCGTGTTCCTTGTTTGTTCAGTGCTGGGATTTATCTTCTTGGAGCCACTGCGTCTCAGTCCCATTTATGGGAATAGAGAGGCAGGGCCCAGCTGATCTGTGGTATCAGATAAGAGGCTTCATGAGCTTTGTTGGATTATTGCTGCCGACTGGGGAGGCTTGCTGCTGGAGTCAGGAGCTCAGATGGCATAGGTGTGGGTTGTCCCGAGTCTCTCCTTTCAGCAGCCCTATGAGACCGGATGTAAATGTGTGGCTGATGGGCAAGAAGGCGTTGGCACGGGTCCTTGTGTCTCATTCAGACTGAATTCTCAGTCTGGGAGAAATGTCCTTTCAGTTTTTCCAGTGGGGGAAAAAATGCAATTTGGGGAGTGCCCAGGAAAAAATTCTAGGCAACATTTTCTTCTTTTGGATGAGTGAAATGCTTTATGAGATGAGGTTTTACTTATTGAAAATGATTTTTATGCAAGACAATCTATAGCATTCGGTAATGCCTATATATATTTGAGACATATGCAGCATATTTTTAAGGATATGTTTATTTTAAACACACTTGACTTGGCCCACAAATTGCTATCATGTGCATAATGATGGTTATGTAAAGGGCATCTCGAATGATAAAAGGGTTGGAACACTTTCCCTATGAGGAAAGGTTAAAGCGCTTAGGGTTCTTTAGCTTGGAGAAACGACGACTGAGGGGAGACATGATTGAGGTTTATAAGATTATGCATGGGATAGAGCAGGTAGAGAAAGAGGTACTTTTCTCTCTTTCTCACAATACAAGAACTCATGGGCACTCCATGAAATTGCTGAGTGGTTGGGTTAGAACGGATAAAAGGAAGTCCTTCTTCACCCAAAGAGTGATTAACACATGGAATTCACTGCCACAGGAAGTGGTGGCGGCTACAAGCATGGACGGCTTCAAAAGGGAATTAGATAAGCATATGGAGCAGAGGTCCATCAGTGGCTATTAGCTGCCATGGTGTTCTGTATTACCTGCCTGTATGTACAGTCCCTTCCCCCCCCTCTGTTCCTGCCCTGTGTTTTATTCTGCTGTAACGCTTAAACCACGCAGCTGCAGGACGTGAAGTGGGAGGTGAGCTTGATTGCTAGCTTGTTGCTTTTTGAGCCTGGGAACTGCAGCAATGTTATGTCTGAAGATGGTAGTGTTCCCAGGGATTGCCCGCGCAATCGTTTCCTTGTACCCGCCAGCGGGAAAGTGACCCATTGGTTCTGTACCTGGTTTGAATCCCTTTATTATGTTTACCCGAGCTGTTTGTAACCATTCCTAACAAAGACCTTGTTTGAGTATCTTTCCAAAGCTTTGAAATAAATTTTGCTTTCTTGAAACGTGGATTTATTCTCGATGCTTGGGGATCCAACACAAGGTATAGATACGAGCTCTCGTTCTGGGGCAAGTGATGCTCTGTCTTCTTGGTGCTGGGGGGGTCAACAGTGGGAGGGCTTTTAATGTCCTGGCCCCACTGGTGGACCTCCTGATGGCACCTGGTATTTCTGGCCACTGTGTGACACAGAGTGTTGGACAGGATGGGCCTTTGGCCTGATCCAACATTGGCGTCTCTTATGTTCTTATGTTCGTATGATAACTATTGAATAGCTCAGGGCTGATACTTGGATATGCTGCTAGTCCTGTTGTGAGTTTATGAGATCGGTGCCGTCTAAGCAATATGCTGTTTTTTTGTTTACAACACCTTTGTGTTTTCTATTCTCAAGCTCTCCCCCATCTGTCAGATGGCAAAAGCTAAGATGCATATACTAAGGTAAACATGGGGTGCAGTAGTGTGGCTATATCTTCCACTGGTATTGGGTATAATCTCAGTTTTGTTTGTTGAGAAACCAAGGCCTTTGGAGAGGAGTCTAAGGAACGGGGCTTACTCCCAGGAGATTGTTCTTAGGATTGCAGTGTTACACTCTTGCGTTTTATAAATACACCATATAGTGCAATTTTATATGATAAATTGCCGGGGGAAAAAAGAGGGAGCGGTGGCGCAGGCAGTAAGGGAAGCCTGCTTTAACAACTGGACGAACAGCTTCGGCTGTTCGAACCCCACCGCGGTCAGGGTGAGCTCCTGGCCCTACGTCCCAGCTCCTGTCCACCCAGCGGTTCGGAAGCCCGTTAAAGGGCAAGTAGATAAAATGGGTACCTGCTATTAGAGCAGGGGGGCACCCGCCCCTGGTGTAGCAGCGATGGTGGAAAGCGGAGAACAGAGGGCGATGAACGGCGGCGGCGGCGGAGAAAGAATGGCGGCTGGTTGAGGCGAGGAGGCGAACGAAAAGGAGGCCGGACTAACAAGGTGCGGAGGCGGAGCAACGCGGCAGGCCGGAGCCTGACTTGGACGGAGGCCGCTGCAAGCATGCGCGGAAGCACGGAGTGGTCCAGGCCTGGAGGCGGAGTTGCGACAGCCGGAAAGAGTGAAACACCGAAGACTGACGCCGGAGGAGGGTCGCCGCTGGACTGTCCCCTCGCAAGAAAGAAGATCTGCTACAACAGGA